CATATTTACGTCATACAGTATTTAATTAAACGTCATCGCATAACGATTATAAATTTTATTAAAAAAAAAAAAAAAAATACACAACATTAACAAAACCCAAAACCAAGAATATCATCACACCAATGATAACATTAACAACAACGACTTCACTAATACTTGTTGCCGATTTCACGTCACAAAGTATGCAACGAACATCGACAAACCCCAAAAACCAACGAATATCGTCATACTGACGATAACATCAACAACGGCGACTTCACCAAAACCTGGTGCCGATTCCACATCACAAAGAACCTAAAAAACCTAAACAAGCCAAAAAAGAGAAAAAACATTTAGCGAACACAGGAATATAACAAAGAAAGAAAAAAAACAAAAACAAAAGAAAACTACTCACCAAGAGCCTGATTCTAGCCCGACAAAATCTAAACAAGCTAAAGAAGAAAAAAGAATAGTTAGTAAATATTCAAAAAAAAATAAATAAAAAAAAGGAAAACTAACTACTCACCAAGAGCTACGTCCGCGCAATTTCCAGATCCAACGAAGACAAAACAAGCCCCGTATGAAGAAAAAATGTCTAAAAAATTAAAAAAAGATTAGTAAAGAACTAAAAATATCAAAACCAAATCCACAGTGAAAAAACACACATAACCACTTATAAGAACGCCAGAAAAGAATGCAAAGCCATTCCACAAAAACACCGGAGAAACCCGTAAGTTCACAAGAACGCCAGAGAAATCCCACAAAAAAGTTGGGATGCACGCAAGACCACCCCACAGAAACATTCTGCAAGACCACCCCACAAGTTACCAGCAACGCAAAATCAATTCATGAAATCTAATGGCAGCACCAAACCAACGACGACAACAACACCAGCGATAACAACGACACCAACGATGACACTAGCGATGACAAGACACCAGCGACTACAAGGCACCAGTGACAATAAGACACCAATGATACCAATGGCGAAAAGCGGCAAGCTAAAAAAAAATAAATAACAAGCGAAAAAAAATTAATAACAAGCGAAAAAAAAAACAAAATACAGTAATAAAAAAAACCAATGATTATCAATCTTTGATAATCATTGTTTATATAGAGGGGTGCGGGATGAACTGAACCAACCCCTGATCCAGCATCGGTATGCCGGGTGGAAGATATATCTCTCGTAAGAGATATATCTCCCGCGAGAGATGCCTATAATTTCCCTTTTTTAATATATAGGGTGTGTCTATTTTCGGATAAGGATTTTTACCAAAAATTTCTGAAAATATCTGATCACATGTATTTTAGCATAGCGGGCTTTTATTCTGGTTGGCTAATTTTTGTAGATCATTTCATAATTTTACAAGATCTGATTGGCTAATAGACTTATA